ATCACGGAGCTATTAATGACAGGCCCAGGGGGAAGGAAATCCTGACCTAGCCAGCCACTGAACTGGAAAATGGAATGCCAAGTGGTGTTTGAGAAGATAATAATAATAATAATAATAATAATAATAATAATAATAATAATAATAATAATAATAATAATAATAATAATAATAATAATAATAATAATAATAATAATAATAATAATAAAGTTGGAAGGGACCTTGGAGGTCATCTAGTCCAAACCCCTGCCCAGGCAGGAAACCCTATACCATTTCAGACAAATGGCTGTCCAATCTCTTCTTAAAGACTTCCAGTGTTGGAGCATTCACAGCTTCTGGAGGCAGGTTGTTCCATTGATTAATTGTTCTAACTGTCAGGAAGTTTCTCCTTAGTTCTAGGTTGCATCTCTCTTTGGTTAGTTTCCATCTGTTGCTTCTTGTCCTGCCTTCAGGTGCTTTGGAGAATAGCTTGACTCCCTCTTCTTTGTGGCAGCCCCTGAGATATTGGAACACTGCTATCATGTCCCCCCTCATCCTTCTCTTCATTATACTAGACATACCCAATTCCAGCAACCGTTCCTTGTATGTTTTAGCCTCCAGTCCCCTAATAATCTTTGTTGCTCTTCTCTGTACTCAGCATCTTTTTTACATTGTGGTGACCAAAACTGGATGCAGTATTCCAAGTGTGGCCTTACCAAGGCATTGTAAAGTGGTATTAACACTTCACGTGATCTTGATTCTATCCCTCTGTTAATGCAGCCTGGCACTGCGTTGGTCTTTTTGGCAGCTGCAGCACATGCCTGCTCATATTTAGATGATTGTCCACTAGGACTCCGAGGTCCCTCTCACAGTTACTACTATTGAGCAAGGTACGCCCTATACTATACCTGTACATTTGGTTTTTCTTGCTAAATGTAGAACCTTACTTTTTTCACCATTGAATTTCATTTTGTTAGATAGTGCCCAGTGTTCAAGTCTGTCCAGATCCTTCTGTATCTTAAGCCTGTCTTCTGGAGTGTTGGCTATTCCTGCCAGCTTGGTGTCGTCTTCAAATTTGATGAGTTCCCCATCTATCCCCTCGTCCAAATCATTGATGAAGATGTTGAAGAGCCCTGGGCCCAGAACAGAGCCCTGGGGCACCCCACTACACACTTCCCTCATGTAGATGCAGTTCCATTGAGGACTACACGCTGAGTACGGCCGGTCAGCCAGCTATGAATCCATCTGCTGGTGATGCTGTCTAACCCACATTTTTCTATCTTATCAAGTAGTAGGTTGTGATCTACTTTATCAAATGCCTTACTGAAGTCCAAATAAATTATATCCTCTGGTCCACTAATTTTGTCACTTGGTCAAAGAATGCAATAAGATTTGTCTGGCATGATCTGTTTTTGACAAACCCATGTTGGCTTTTAGTAATGACTTTGTTTGCCTGTAGGTGTTCGCTGATTCATTGTTTGATTATCTTTTCCAGAATCTTCCCAGGTATTGAGGTCAGGCTGATAGGTCTGTAATTTCCTCGATCCATTTTTTTCCTTTTTTGAAGATGGGAACTACGTCAGCTCTTTTCCAGTCCTCTGGTAGTTCCCCAGTGTTCCAGGATCTTTGAAAGATATAGTTCAGTGGTTCTGAGATCACATCTGCCAGTTTCTTGAGAACCTTGGGGTGTAATCCATCTGGTCCTGGTGATTTGAACTCGTCTAGGCTGGACAGGTGCTTACTTACCATTTTCTTGCCTATTTTAACTTGTGTTTCTAATCTGTTTTTTTACGGTATTGTTTTAATAGGTTGGGCTGTTTTTTCCCTTTGTGTAAAGATGGATGCAAAAAATGAGTTAACTAGTTCTGCTTTCTCCCTGTTGCTTGTCACCTTCTTGCCACTTTCTCCCACTAATGGACCAGTCATTTCCTTGACCTTTTTTCTTGTTTTTACATGTTGAAAGAAGCTTTTTTTGTTATTTTTGACTTTTGTCGCAAGCCTTAGTTCATTTTGAGCCTTAGCTTTCCTCACTTCATCTTTGCAGGCTCAGGCTATTTGCTGATATTCTGCCTTAGTTATGTGCCCCTCTTTCCACTTGTTATACTTGTCCTTTTTGTCTTTCAGTTTATCAGAGAGTTCTTTATGCAGCCATGCTGGTTTCTTTTGAGAGCTGTTATTTTTCTTCTTCATTGGCATTGTGCTAGACTAGGCTTTTATCTCACTTTTCAAAATTTCCCAAGCTTCTTGAGTTGTTTTCCCCTTGAGGATTCTCATCCATGGAATCCTTCCCAAGGTCTCTCTAAGTTTATTGAAATTAGTTCTCTTGAAGTCCAAGATTTGACTGTGTTCTATTGCTTGTGCTTGCATAATGTTGAATTCCAATATTGTATGATCACTCCCCCCCCAAGGTTCCTGTGGCTTCAACACCTTCTATCATTATATCTATTAAGAGACTGTTTGCAGCTGAGCCAGTCATAAAGCACCCTTTTGTGATTCAAGCCAATGCCAGCAATGTGGCAGTGGAGGCAGTGCTACTTCAAAAGAATGGACAGGGGTGCCTGCAGCCATTGTGGTTTCACCTCTAGAAAGCTAAACGAGTATGGGAAAAGGAAGCCTTTGCTGTGCAATGGGCACTACTGATGTGAAGACAGTTCTTAGAGGGAAATAAGAACCCCTCCAATAGCAGAAGCGAGATGGATCAAACCCCATAACATCAGAGCAGAATGCCTAATAAATAGATTTCATTCAAAGTATCCCCAGAAATCAGGGCCACTTAAGTAGGAAGCAGAGGTAGAAGAATGGCCTTACTATGTGTTTAGTGTTTTTCAGGTTCTTTCCAGGTTTTACGAGGGCTGCCTGTCAAGTTTTGAAGCACGCTTTTGATGGTCTGACAATTATTGCTTTTCAGTTTGCCAATAAACTTGGGGGGAGGGAAAGGGATCGGAATGCAGACTTCAAAAGATCAAGAAAGCAGACCATGATAACCAAGAACAGCTCACCAGGTGTCTGGCCAGGCCCAGAGACACTTTTCTCATAACAATATTTTTCCTCCTAATTGGGCAACATGATCTGACCAAGAGGAAGGAAGGGGAATTCTATACTTTTACTATATGGGATTGGGTGGGTTTTGCCGGAGCTGGTTTTGCTTGCATGTGTGCCAAAATGATGTACTAAATAAAGTTTTACATTAAGAGTTCAACCTTGACATGAATATGTGCTATTGGTATTTCCTTGCACACTTTCTTTTATCAAAACTACTCTCCTCATGCATGTTCAGTGTTTTTCTTTATGATTTCATGATGGTTCATAACCAGACAGTGATCAATTTAAGAAATACAATACATCAAAGATACGGAAATCTTATTTTTGACTGTACAACTTTATGTTCCTACAGTAGTAGAAAAGGTAAATAAAAAACCACACTTCAAGTGAAGCATATATTATTGGATTGATTTTTTTAAAAATAATTCATAAATGGGCATTGGAATAAAAGTGGAATTTTGCAACATCACAATATTCTTATAAGCGGTCATAAGTAAAATCACTTGAGAGTAATATTTCTTTGTGTGATTAAATATGTTTTACTAATTGATTTGCTTCATCAACTTTAATATAAGTAAAATATCTCTTTCAGTTTTTATTATAGTTTTGTTTTTATATATGAGCTGGGGTGAGAGACCTGAAAACACACTACAGGTTGTCCTCGATTTATGACCATTTTAATGACTATTCAAAGTTATGTCGGTGCTAAAAAGAGTGATTCATAACCATTGCCGCATCCCAGCAGTCATGTGATCAGAATTTGGGAATTTGATAACTGGCATGTATTTACAATGATTACAGCATCCTGGGGTTACATGATTGCCTTCCCAGGGGCTTTTGACAAGCAAAGACTATGGGGGAAACAGGATTCCCTTAAAGACCATGGTGAAAAAGATCATAAAATTGGATGCAACCTGCTTAACTACTGTATTGCTTAGCAACAGAATGGGACATTCCTGATCATAAGTAGAGAACTATCTGTGTCTGTTCTGTTTTTCCCACTGAGATTATCAGTCAAACATAAAAAAGTGCAAAGTTTTAATAAATTAACCCTGAGATTCCTCATTATAGCATTACATTAAAAATCATTTTCCTATTGTCTGTGTTTTGTGAGATTCACATCTGCTTTTCTAATGCAGTGGTCTCCAACTTTTGCAGGTTGGTGATCTGATGGGGGAGAGAGGCGGGCTGGTGCACATGCTGCATGCACAGCTTGACTTGTGTAAGTGGCGGGTTGCTGTGCACGCCCATGCACGTGCACATACACACGCAGCACGACTGCAAGTGGAGCTGCACACACATGCTTGTGCATGCCAGCCTGCTGTTTGCACAAGTTGAGCTGCATGTGTGTGTGTGTGTGTGTGTGTGTGTGTGTTGGCCTGCGGCTTGGTTGTGAATAGGCCATGGCCCAGTAGTGGGCCATGGCCCAGGAGTTGGGGACCCCTGCTCTAATGGAACGATTAATTCAGAGCTACTGTGAAAACCCCATGGATTTTGAATATGAACACAAATGTAAACATTTAGTTCTTTTTCATCTAAGCTGGTACTTTTCAGTTTTCAATTCTTTCAATAAAAAACTGATTAAGCATTATTTGGGGCATATGTCTAACAAAAAAGATATTTGACTGGCACTAGTTATCATACAACAAAGACAAACATTATTCTTGAAAGAAACAAAATTCAAATATATGCAAGTACTCTAAAATATTGTTTTTATTTTTGGAATTAATATTAATGCATTTTTAGTTTCTCTTGAGTTCTTTCTCAAGAGTACTTCTGTCTTACAATTCCTCCAAAATAAAAGGGTGGAACATTTTTTACCCTACATTTTTAATAAGTAGGGATAGAACGTAATTGAAAATAGCAGACAAAATTCTCTTCTGAAAGAGTTACAAATGAGGAACATTGCTTAAGAATCTTAGAACAAGAGGAAAATGTCCACATTTATTTATAGAAAGAGCTTTATTTTCTTTATTATGCAGAACAAAGAATTCGTTTGCCGAGGACATGATTATGAGCGTCTGGAGGCGTTTCAACAGCGGATGTTAAATGAGTTCCCACATGCCATTGCTATGCAACATGCCAATCCACCAGATGAAACCATCTTTCAAGGAGAGGCACAGTGTATCCCTATTATTGTTTTAAAGCCATGCACGTCTACTAGATTAACTTTAAATGGAGCAGTGTGTGTTAAATCCAAATTAAAAATACATAATACAGATCTGGGTTTACTTTAAAAGTAGTAATGGAAAAAGGAAATTAAATATACTGATAGCAGATGCAAAAGCTGTGTAATGATGTTACAAAAAAATGGAGATACAGGAATAGTGATATAATATCAGCATGGTTTTTCAGAAAAGGACACTAATGCAAGGAAAGGTGGAAGGAAAGAGAAGAGGATGACTAGCAGCAAGGTGAATGGACTTAGTTACAGAAGCAATGGATGCAATATTGGATGACTAAACCTAAAAGAGCAGGTTAGGAACAGATTGTCAAGCACAGTATCTGTGTGGTATCTAGGAGATGAAAATTACTTGATGGGACATAATAAATCACTGATCAGCATGATCATGCTAACAGAAAAAAGGACTAAAAGAAAAGAGGGAAAATAATAGCAACAAAAATATTTACTTGAATTACAGGTTTCCTTTTGAATAAAATTAAAACTCAAGGTAGTTTAAAGTTTAAAAAATAAAAATGTAGTATATACAAAAAATAATATCATTGGACTTTAAATGCCTGGCTAATGATTGAATATTGTCCTCATGGATATTCTAAAGCAAAAAGAAAATAGGTTGCATGAACTCTTAAGATGAAGGAGTGACACAGGATAATGTGTCTGGCAGATTCCGTTCTGAATATCTTAGTTTGTGGTCAGGTGCATAGTAAATTAGTAGTTCTTTCACAGTGAAGTCAAGGTGTCCCAGTCTGTTATGTAAATCAGGGCTTTTCAACCAGTGGTACAGGTACCACCTGTGGTACATTGGCACCTGGCAGGTGGTACGCGACCATCCTAGAAAAGTGATAGTGGGGGAGGGGAATGAGCTGAACTGGTGGCAGCACTGCACAAGCCTGAGCGAGAGATGGCTGGAGCTGCAGAGCTGTCAGGGCTCAGCGGAAGCGCCAGGATCAGTGCCGCTTTCTAGCTGATCGGTGCTTCTTTGGGGCTGTCAGGGCTCAGTGGAAGCACCAGGCTCTAGCAGGAGCATGGCGCTGATCCTGGTGCTTCTGCTGAGCCCTGAAGAAGCGCTGATCAGCTGGAATGTTGCAGCATCTCCAGGGTCTTGTGATTTATATTCAGATGCTTGGCAACTGATTCATATTTATGACAGTCACAGTGTCCCAGGATCATGTTAAGTGACCAAAACCTGCTGCAACCACCCAGCAGACGGAGGGGGGGAATAAAAACCAAACACACCCCACCCTACCCCCGCTGCCAATCCTCAACAGAAATGCTCACAGCAATGAAAACCTCAGACAGGAGGAAGAGCGCCGCCAGTTGGGCAGGCAGGTGTCTTGCTCAGCTGTGGCTTGGGGGGCACTTTTTTCAGTGCTATTGTAACTTCTAAGAGTCACTAAGCGAACTGTTGTAAGTTGAAGACTACCTGTACTTTATCACTTTTTTCATTTTTGGGGGGGGTGGTCATCAAGTTTTTGACACCTTGCTAGGTGATTGGTGGTACTTGGATGTTGCCATATCCTAAAAGTGGTACAATGGGTGAAAAGGTTGAAAAGCCTTGATGTAAATAACAGTGGGACCGAAATATTAGGTGAACTCAATTTTTTGTTTTCCAGATTTGCTCTGGCAAATTCCAAATTGCTTAACTGTTATGCACTTTACTTGCTTTCTTTATCTAGCAAATGCATCCTCTTCTATTTACTTAGTACTTAACAGTTTATACATAGATCTGCAAATCTATGCTGTGACACCAATTCCTGAAAGCCAGGATGTACTGCAAAGAGAAGGCATTCCAGATAATATCAAAAGTTTTTATAAAGTAAATCATATTTGGCGATTCCGGTATGACAGGCCATTTCACAAAGGGACCAAAGACAAAGACAATGAATTTAAGGTATATTTTCATTCCAATTCTCATTTACAAGTATTTGATTCATCTCAGAGTTTCCAAGAAGAATTCATAGAAATGAAAAGTAAAACTAGATGACTCACTGGAGTTTGGTATATATTAAATACATGTTTTTATTTTCCTGTTATTTAGAAAATGAAGATTGATTTTCTTCACATCATATAGAGGGAATTAATATATGCCAAATTCACATGACATAGATTAGAAAGAGGGTATGAAATTGGGGGTATTGTGGATACAAATCATTCCTAATAATGCCATCTGCCATATCTAAAGAAGCTTATGTGGAAACAAGAGATAATGATGAGGACTGATAGTGCTTATTAAGAAAGAAAAGAAACCTAGGTACCCAGCAAAGATGAAAGACTTAAAACTAAGTTATCAAACAGAGGCCAGAGACACAGAGTTCTGTCAAACTTACTAGCAGCAGGGTCATCTAGAGCAGCGGCCCCCAACCTTTTGGGCACCAGGGACCGGTTCCGTGGAGAGAGGTTTTTCCACGGACTGCAGGGGGTGTGGTTTTGTGTGCTGCCTGCATCCCATGGATGGGTCTTCACTTGTTTGTGTGGACCGGTTTCTGGCATGCCATGGACTAGGGCCGGTCCAAGGACTGGGAGTTGAGGACCTCTGATCTAGAGACTTGAGTATGTGTTGTCTCAAACTTAAGCAAATGAACTTTGCCATTTTTAGAAGAAAGTGGATCATGAATTTTCTGAGAGCAAGAATTTCCATCACTCCTTGAATCTTTATTATGCTAAGCACTTCCAGTTCCTTCAAGCTTTCTTAAAAATGAATCCCCAACATCTTTGTCATTCCTTGAATTCTGTTATTTTTGGTGGTTTTTTAATTTATCAAGATCTTTTAAAATTTTATTTCTGTCTTGAAGAATTTAATTTAATTTAATTTAATAATTTAATTCTGTCTTGGAATTTAAGCAGTGTTGGGCCTTGTTAGTACTTGGCTGGGAGTCTATTAGCTAATACTGTAGGTTATACCGAAATGTTGAAAAAAAAATCTCGGAAAAACGCAGTGCCAAATGACTTTTGAGTTGCTGCCAAAAAAATTAGTATCCCATTTTGTTTAAATAAACTGATAAATATTCCCCCTACCTCTTTATCATTCAAAGTTAAATACATAAATTATTGTAGATACATGTTCCTGGACTCAACTTTATGACAGCCACTTCATGCCTCACTCCAGAAATAGAATACATAATTGGCATTTTATTTTTTATTTCAGAGTTTATGGGTAGAGAGAACAACACTGATCTTGGTGCAGAGCTTGCCAGGAATTTCCCGATGGTTTGAAGTGGAGAAACGTGAAATTGTGAGTACAAAAATGGGAAAAATAGGTGACCCTCCATTATTTTTTAAACAAATTTTATTGGTTTTTTAATTCTTAATAGAAAGTGCTCGAGACACACCGTGGTGCTGGGGTAATCAAAAATCCAAAAACAAAACATATGTAAATAACTGAATCAGTACATCAAATATTCCCTCTCTATTTCCCTCAAATAGCTTATATATTTAAAATAGTCTATTTCTAACAAATTTCTATTAATCCTAAACCTGTTTTAGAGCTTTATGCAATTACAAGACCATAATCAAATTTAACTTTAAATACACACATTATCAGTTCAGGTATCCCTTCCAAATATATCCTAATTCTTTAATTTCATCATAAATCTTGTTTATTCCTTCTTCCACTAATATCTCCCAGTCAAGATAAAATATTGATCTATCCTATACATATCTAATCCATCAATCTATCAATTTTTTAAGCTAACAAAATAATATCAACCTTAAATCATTTGAGTCCCTTAGACAAGGTTCTGATTTCATCCAATTAATTATCAAACCTACTATCATCTGTATTATCAAACAAAACACATCATCTTATTAGAATCACATTCAATTAATTATTAATTCAATCCCGATCTAGAACATCTCTTCATTTTTCTTCATTCCATTATATAATAATTTTCATACAATAATCACCCATTTTTTCTTATTTCTACTCAAAAACTTAATCCTTAAATCAATCCATAGTTCTAAAATGCCTTATATCCAATATATATAATTTTAAATTTCTCTTTTCAGTCTTATTCTAGGCTTTTTTTCCTGCCAAGCAGGTTTCCACAACAACGCTTCCCTTTCATCCGATAGGTCTCTCTTTGTTGCTTGTGATGCCATTTGAGGCAGTAATAAGCTTCCTGTCATCTGGATTGAACCTCCATTTCTCTTATTCTTGAAGCCTCGCTGCATTAAAGGTTCAAATCTCAATCTTTGCTTTTTCTGATCCTCAAAAATATAGATAAGATGCTTGTAGGGTGAAATAAGTTCCTTTGTATCCTCAATAAAGTCATCTTTTAGTGTAATTTGGTTTGTAGAATAGTCAGGTGTAATCTGAAAGTCACTTTTAAGATTTAAAGAAGAATCTCTGGTTCTTAGTTCTGTGGTAATCTCTTTCATTGTAACAAATTCCTCTTTAATTTCCCTTAATTCCTCTTCTGGTATGTTTTGGTTTGTAGAATAAACAGTTGTAGTCTGAAAGTCAGTTTGAAAGTTTGGGGTAGAGTTGACTCTTCGTTCTGTAGTAATCCTTTTCCTTATAGCACATATTTCTTCAGAAACCTCATGGATCTTTTCCAGTATAAGCTTGCAATTTAAGTGAGAGTAGAATTTCTCCATTTTAAAAGTGATCAAAGAAAGTCCTTTATTATTATTTTTTCTTCTTTTTTTTAATGAGGGCTGTAATTAAACAGTGTGCACCCTCTCAGTTCCCACAGCTGCACCAGCTTATTTTATCCAGGAATAGTTTGAAGGTCAGGTCCTTCTATCCAAAAAATAGTTGCAACATTGCCTTTTCACCACTATATGTCCTCAGTAAATAAAAAATCTTTTCCAGACACCATTTTTCTCCCTTTTTTCTAACTTTTAAAGGAAAGAGTGGAAAAAGAAGTAATCTTCCAATATTAGCTACTAATACAATTCGAAAAAGCGTTTTTTTCTGTATCCCAAAATGACTGAAAATAGACTGTAGTCTTTAAAAAAAATTTGTTCTCAACGCCTCTCTTCCCACACATACAGAAGCTGCTTTTTCCAAATGGGGAAATAATTCCAACCAAGTTTTTACAGGCAAAAAATACCAAGTAAGGGAAAGAGGGGGGCTAAAAGGGTCTCACCCGGATCCTCCACGGTGGGTCTAATATCGCTTAGCTGTAATTGTGACTTCGGCTGGTGCAGCAGGATAATCGGCCATCTTGCAGGACGATCGTTGCTCCGTCGGCCCTAAGGAAATAGCTGGAGCAGCGAGAGAAGCTGCCGCTCTTCCACAGTCACCAGCAAGCCTCCTTCTCAGTGGTCGCCCCTCCAGGGCGACTTTCAACCCACTAGGGGGTCTACCGATGCAGAAAACCCAGCCGGACTGGAGACGAGCCCCCAGACGCGATCGGCGTCACCGCGTACCGGAACCAGAAGTTGTGACCCTCCATTATTACCATAGAACATTGCTTTAAATTGCTTACATTAGAATAACAAACAGCAAATAACAATAAAGCTCAAAACTGATTTTGAACTTACTCTAAGAAGTCAAAGAGAAAAGGAAAGGAAGAAATTTGTTTATAGAATTATTAATGCTGTCGGGTCCCCAAAGAAATACATTGTTTCCCTCTGCCTATTCATGCGTCTGTAACCTTTCTTTAGGGCAGAGGTCTGCAACCTTAAACACTCAAAGAGCCACTTGGACCCGTTTCCCAGAGAAAAGAAAACACTGGGAGCCGCAAAACTTGTGTGTGTGCGCGTGCACGCACGCAAGGGGTGGGGACCTTGATTGAAGAGTTTAGTTAAAAAGAAATAGAGGCTGCTGTGCATGAGTTCTTTCTCTCTCTCTCTCTCTCTCTCTCTCTCTCTCTCTCTCTCTCTCTCTCTCTCTCTTTCTCTCTGTCTTTCTTTCTTTCTCTTTCCTCTCTCTCTCTTTCTCTCTTTCATCTCTTTTTCTCTCTCTCTCTCTCTCCTCTCCCTCTCTCTCTCTCTTTCTCTCTCTCTTTCTCTGTCCTCTCCCCCTCTCTCTTTTTCTCTCTTTCTCTCCCTCTCTCTCTCCCTCTCTCTTTCTCTCTCCCTCTCTCTCCCTCTCCCTCTCTCTCTTTTTTCTCTCTCTCTTTTTTCTCTCCCTCTCCCTCTCTCTCCCCCTCTTTTTCTCTCTTTCTCCCTCTCTTTCCTCTCTCTCTTTCTCCCTCTCTCCCCCCTCTCTCTTTCTTTCTCTCTTTCCTCTCTCTTTCTCTCTCTCTTTCCTCTCCCTCTCTCTCTTTCCTCTCCCTCTCTCTCTCTTTCTCTCTCTCTTTCTTTCTCTTTCCTCTCTCTCTCTTTCCTCTCCCTTTCTCTCCCTCTCTCTTTCCTCCCCCTCCGCTCCCTCTCTCTCTTTCTCCCCCTATCTCTTTCTCTCCCTCTCTCTCCTCTCCCTCTCTCTCCCTCTCTCTTTCTCTCTCTCTTCTCTCTTTCTCTCTCCCTCTCTTTCCTCTCCCTCTTTATCTCTTTCTTTCTCTTTCCTCTCTCTCTCTTTCCTCTCCCTTTCTCTCCCTCTCTCTTT